AAACACCGGTTTGAATCCCTTCGGCTTTTCACTTTTGTTTTGAGTAGTCTGTAGAGGTATGTTCTGGCTTCTTTTGAGCTTTTACATCCTGACACATCGTTTTTTTCTTCCAATACAATCCTTTTTGAGCTATCTTTAAATTATGGTGAATACTTATCGAGCATTTCTAAGCTGTCATTAGACTATGCTTGCCGTCCTCATGAGTAACCAGTTGAGTCAACCACTTCCCTCGCCGTTCATACATCAAATCCAAGTGCTTTAAGTAGCATTTTCGGTGGAGCTAACATCAGCAAAATATCCGACTGTCCGTTCAAAATTTTCAAAGGTACAGTCAAGATCCAACAACGGAAAAATCGAGAGTGACGAGGAAAGTTGAACATTCGCTAAAATCACTGCAAGGTCTGCACGTGTTGACGTTTTCAATCGTCTTAATTTTGACGTATTTTCCTACTATTTTTACAAACTTTTGGATGTTCTGAAACTTTTTAAGCTAAATTACCGTGTTTTGTGGAATAAAAACGGTTTTGTGACATAAATTGTGCTATATTAAACACATTTTCAAACAAATTGTTGTATTTTTTCGGCACTGGACATGACAGGACATTGAATGAACAAATGCGCGCGCAAGAGGAAGTGTTAAATCACTTCCGTTCTTTTATTTTGCTCACGTTATATATTTTATATTTTTTTTATTAAGAGAGCCATATAATAAATAACTTATTAACCTCGTCCGTTCGGTCATTACAGGGAAATCTCAGACCTCGGTCTTGTTTGTATGGACCTCGCTATCGCTCGGTCCATACTTCCAAGACCTCGGTCTGAGATTTCCCTGTAATGACCTCACTCTCGGTTAATAAGTAGTATATAAATTATATAACTACTGCAATATATTAGAAAATATTTTTTTCTTACTTATTGCAGGTTGCAACAGTCCTCTCGGAATCGAGAACCGAAAAATTCTAGACAGCGCCTTAACTGCTTCTTCTGAACTAACTTTCTGGAAAGGGGCGTGGCAGTCACGTGTAAACCTWAAGCCATACTATTCATGGATGACCAGTGGCTGGTCTCCAGCACAAAACGACGTCAACCAATGGCTTAAAGTGTATCTTACAAGTCCTCACCTTATAACGGGTATCGGTAYTCAGGGTCAAGGACGGACAACGCCCTCCAATGAATGGGTTACAAAATATAAACTATCGTATAGTGTTGATGGAAAGACTTGGGTGTTTTATAAGATTGATGGAGAAATTAAGGTAATAAATCTGCAGTAGAAAGAAAAATATGTTAAGAAAAGAACTAAGGGCTTAGTTACGAAGTGATATTGAAAAATGTTTATTTTTCTATGATAAGAATTTCACAGGTAACTCAGATGCAGACAGAATTGTGAAGAACACCGTGTCKCATCCATTTTCAGCTGTTTATGTGCGTATTCATCCATTGGCTTGGAACAATGCCATTGCTCTTCGCTTTGAGCTTTACGGATGTCTTGGTACGTAAGGCATAACAATAATAATAAAATAAACGACCACTGTTAAGATCCTTTGATTGAAACTATCTTTAATAAAAATCTTGCTGCAAAAAGTTTTTGTCTATAGTTCCACCATCATATATTTTTAATACATCCTTAATGAATTATTACTCCAAGTACTGGTCTAAATTCAAGCTCTGACTTTTGATTCACCTTTTTTACTAGTTTTTAAGGCACTTTTAGGTGTTTTTTCTGCATGAATAAGGATATGTTAGGTCCGCCATCTTGATTTCTAGAGTTGTAGAGCGCAGTGCATGCCGGAATTGTCTTTTTATCGCATTTTGCGACAATTCTCGCAAGATTTTTTTAAAATATACAAAAACTTAAATACTTAAATGTTTCTTTTTAGACTTGCATGGATGCGGCAATAAGTTAGGAATGGAAAATGGAACTATTCCAGCCAGTCACATCACGTCATCGAGTAAATATAACGACACATTTCCAGCCCACCAAGCGAGACTCAATAACAAGCCCTCCGCGATTTATTCTGGATGCTGGAGATCTGTTGCCACAGACTATACGCCCTGGCTTCGTGTTGACCTTGGGAAAGCTTTCAAGGTCGTTGCTATAGGAACCCAGGGGAATCCATCAGATAAACAGTGGGTTACGTACTTTACTGTCCGGTATGGGCATGATGGGAAGCATTGGGCGGCTATTTTTAACCAAGGAATGATTAGGGTAATTAGGGAGGGGAGGGGACGGCGAAATCTCTTAGTTCAGGCATCAAGTAACTTTTCTTATWTTATTCAATTAACAGTACTTCGTCGGTAACACTGACCAGAATTCTGAACATCAGAATATACTCCAAACAGCTGTGGTTGCACGGCATATGGCGATAGAACCAATCGTATGGCATGGAGCCGCTGCACTGAGGGTGGAATTCTATGGTTGTAGAAAAGGTAAGAGCTAGCGCTACGACCCAGTGTTTTAAACGCTTGTYGCGTTTGGATTACTGAAATGGACTTTAAGGTAGAATTCAAAAGTCGTCAAAGCTGAAACAGTCAAGTCGCTTCCGCAACGATAAGAAACTCCTTCTCGAACTTACCAATACAGTACGAAATATACAAAACTATGCGATTTAGAACGTCAATTTATTTCTTAAGATTCAAGTCAACTAACGCACTTTGTTGTCATTTTAATTTTCATTCAGATGACCAATGCATGTCTTCACTTGGTTTAGAAGACCATCGCCTGCCAAGCTCATCCTTTAGCTCTTCTTCATCTTACTCACAATCAAACGGTCCTTCCAGCGCTCGTCTGAATCTCCCTGCTACCTCATCCAGTTCAATAGGTGGTTGGGCTCCCAGAGATGACGACAAGGCATCATGGGTCCAAGTGAATCTTAGTCACGTGATGGACATTAGCGCAGTTGGAACCCAGGGTGGCGCGGTCAATTGGTGGGAGGCTGGTACCTACCAGTATGTTAAGACGTATAAGCTTAGTTATAGTAGGGATGGGAAGCAGTGGAGTATATACAAAGATAAGAACGGAGGGGACAAGGTAAATRGTCACGTGATTTATAGTCACGTGTTAAATAGTCACGTGAAATGATATCTATACCAATAGCCGACTTGCGAATTTTGCCTCGGTAGTCAAACACAAAGGAATCAAGACGAGGCGCCGTACATAAAGCTCAGTCATTCGTGGAAAGACAATAGTTTTTCACGATTGACTGAGATTTATGCACGGTGCCTCGTCTTGATTTGTGTTTGACAACTGGAGCGAAATTCACAAATCGGCTATTGCTCTACCAATTAAGCCATGAAAACTTGGTAATATAATTTATACGAGAAAGTCAAAAGAAACACAGATAAAAGCTTTGAATCCTGTTTGTGTCTCACACTCCATCTATTTGATACGCATGACTAGACCAAATTCACGTGAATATCTACCATCATGCCACATATCACGCTATTTGATTTTCAGGTGTTTGCTGGAAATTCTGACCACAGTAGCGTTGTGGTAAATAAACTGTCGCCAATGGTASGAGCTTTAATGATACAAATACATCCAGTGACATGGCAAACAAGACCCTTCCTACGAGCAGAGCTGTATGGATGTAAAGGTAACTTCGCCTAAACAACACGACGCAGTTCTAGAGCACACTTGTTTTAATGTTTTCCTTATTCATGTTACTTCYAGTGAGAAATAGTAGCAAYGATGTAAATATATGTGATTCCAAACCCTGCAAAAACCAAGCAACTTGCGTCCAAAAAGGCGACAACTATACGTGCACTTGCCGTGTTGGATACACAGGAAGACTCTGCGGAATTGGTAAGAAATTCAACACTCTCGAATAGATATCGCTACTGTTTCTGATTGTCTTCGCTCTTCACGTGTAGATATTGATGAATGCGTKAGCACGCCTTGCAAAAACAATGGAACATGCACTGATCACGTGAACAACTACACCTGCACATGTGACAGTGGTTTTACTGGAAGAAACTGCGAAATAGGTAATGAAAAATGATCTATTTGCTCACGGGTGAATTAAATTGATACTGATATTTTCTTTGAATATAGACATTGATGACTGCGCAAACTTACCTTGCAAGAACAATGCAACATGCACTGATCACGTGAACAACTATACGTGCACATGTGACAGTGGTTTTACTGGAAGAGATTGTGAAATAGGTAAGTCTTTAAGGATCTATTTGTTCATAAGTGAGGTGTACTGTATTTAATTTCTTTTCGGTTTGAATTCAGACGTTGATGATTGTGCAAAGTTGCCTTGTAAGAACAATGCAACATGCACCGATCACGTGAACAACTACACTTGTACATGTGACAGTGGTTTTACTGGACGAAACTGCGAAACAGGTAATATAGAAAAAATTATTTGATTTTGGTGATGACTGAGTTGTATATATAACTGCGGAGGTCTTCTTTCTACAAAGACATTGATGACTGCGCAAAGTCGCCTTGCCAGAACAACGCAACATGCACCGATCACGTGAACAACTACACCTGTACATGTGACAGTGGTTTTACTGGAAGGAATTGTGAAATAGGTAATGAAAGATATCTATTTGCCCACGAGTGAATTGAGTTGTAACTGATAATTTCTTTGAATATAGATATTGACGATTGCGCAAACTTACCTTGCAAGAACAATGCAACATGTGCCGATCACGTGAACAACTACACCTGTACATGTGACAGTGGTTTTACTGGAAGAGACTGCGAAATAGGTAAGTCTCCAGGGATCTATTTGTTAATGGGTAAATGTATATTGTATTTGATTTCTTTTCGATTTGAATTCAGATATTGATGATTGTGCAAAATTACCTTGTAAAAACAATGGAACATGCATCGATCACGTGAACAACTACACGTGTGCATGTGACAGTGGTTTTACTGGACGAAACTGTGAAACAGGTAATATATAGAAAAAAATATTTGATTTTGGACAGAAAGTTGTGTATAACTGCTGATGTATTCTTTCTACAAAGACATTGATGACTGCGCAAACTTACCTTGTAAGAATAATGCAACATGCAGTGATCACGTGAACAACTACACCTGCACATGTGACAGTGGTTTTACTGGAAGGAATTGTGAAATAGGTAATGAAAGATATCTATTTGCTCACCGTGAATTAAATTGAAATNACATTGATGACTGCGCAAACTTACCTTGTAAGAATAATGCAACATGCAGTGATCACGTGAACAACTACACCTGCACATGTGACAGTGGTTTTACTGGAATAAACTGCGAAATAGGTAATGTAACAACATTTATTTACAAGTAAGCCACTTATTGTAACTGATTTTGTTTTTGTCTATAGACATTGACGATTGCGCAAACTCACCTTGTAAGAACAACGCAGCATGCACCGATCACGTGAACAACTACACCTGCACATGTGACAGTGGCTTTACTGGAAGGAATTGTGAAATAGGTAATGTAAGAGTCTATATTTGGTCACAAGTGAATGAATATTGTTACTATTCTTGCAAATTCTCAACATATACCTGATGCCATTTGTGCTTACAGATATTGACGACTGCGCAAACTCACCTTGTAAAAACAATGCAACATGCACTGATCACGTGAACAACTACACCTGTACATGTGACAGTGGTTTTACTGGAAGAGATTGTGAAATTGGTAGGTTTTTAAGAATATATTTGTTCAAGAGTGAGTTATATCGTTGCTAATTTGTTCATCGGTTTTAGATATTGATGACTGCGCAAACTCACCTTGCAAAAACAATGCAACATGCACTGATCACGTGGGCAACTACACCTGTACATGTGACAGTGGTTTCACTGGAAGACACTGCGAAATAGGTAATTTAAGAGTATATATTTTGTTATGTATGTGATTATATATTAACTAATGTCTTATTTTAAAACTGTACAGATATTGACGATTGTGCAAAGACACCTTGTAAAAACAATGCAACATGCACCGATCACGTGAACAACTACACCTGTACATGTGACAGTGGTTTTACTGGAAGGAATTGTGAAATTGGTAAATTGTACATATTCCTTAAGGTTGTGAGTAACGTCTTCTACATCCTGTGTGAAATGCTATTTATTTTATAGACATCGACGAGTGCCAAAGTTCTCCCTGTAAAAACAACTCAACATGTACTGATCACGTGAACAACTACACGTGCACATGTGTTCGTGGTTTTACTGGAAGACACTGTGAAACAGGTAAAGTAGTCGTTCCTGAGATGCATAGCATCTGAGGCAAGTGATTCTATGCTAATAATCAAGCATTCTTTTCAGATATCAATGAATGTCATAGCTCTCCATGTCTGAACAACGGAACATGTGTTGATCACGTGAACGGCTTCACCTGCACATGTGGTCGTAATTTTACAGGAAAATTCTGCRAGAAGCGTACGTACCTTATKATTTGAATTTATTCAAAARCTAYAGGGGGAACCATTTTACAAGTTCTTGTTTCATATTGTAAATGTTCAACTTCAAGAATACTGAAACAAATAAATAATCTCCACGCATCGTTTCAGGTAATCTACCATGCTCTAGCAGCCCTTGTATGAATTCTGGTATGTGTTTTAATAAAYTACCCGATTCGTTTTGGTGTCGTTGTCGGTATGGCTATGGAGGAGATCAATGTGAAATAGGTAGGTGGAGAAAGAGTCTGTGCTCTAATATASGGATRATAGACAAATTCTCAGTAAGTCGGTCACAGACGGGTCTTAGAATTTGCGGTTGTTTTGCCTCGATGCAAAGGGTTACCTTTCAATACTCAAGATTGTGACGGGAACAGTGAGGAAGACTATTGCGCAATACTTACGAAATCTTAAAGCGACAATGCGCAGCGACGCCATTTTGTACAGCAAAGCATGATGGTAGTTAAAGCCCTTACAACTTTTATAACTATCAACTAAAAATCTCCCTAAATGCCGTTTTATGTTCAATCTCTTTGTAGAAAAGCAGAACTACTTCAATTTTCGTAAAGAAAAAGTAAAAATGGCTTATAGGGATTGTTTTCGACGACAAGTAAAAATAGGAGGACTACAACTCACATTAATGCCGTTGCTGCATGCTCATTGTATATTATATATTGTATATTAATGTATATTAATTGTCTTGTTTAGTAAATATAATGCTATATTACTGTTCAACGTTTGTATATTCTACAGTTCTGAGTCCTAATAAGGAATGTGGTCGTCGGGTGGAGATGCGTATCGTCGGTGGTATGTCGGCGTTTCCAGGTTCCTGGCCATGGCAGGTCGCACTATTYGCCCATGGTGAAAAACAGCAYTACTGCGGTGGATCCCTCATATCCAAGGAATGGGTCATCACAGCGGCTCACTGCGTTCTTTTCCGACGGCCTCACGAGATATWYATCGTGCTCGGAGACTTTGACGTCAGTAAAGTCGAAGGAAACGAAGTCTTCCGAAATGTCTCGGCAATACTGAGCCATCCTAATTACAAATGGTGGACGAGCAACTACGACGTTGCMCTGATAAGACTATCTAAGCCATTAGCCATGTTTAATCGACACATATACCCYGTGTGCCTCCCCCTGAAGTCGACACTCCCCCCTGTTGGTACAAAGTTCACTATTACAGGGTTTGGGAGRTTAAAGCATGGAGGRAATAGACCTACTTTACTTCAACAAGCCGARGTACCCCTTGTATCCCATGATTCATGTGTGGCAGCGTATAAAGGAAGAGCYGTTATMACCAAGCAAATGATGTGTGCYGGGTTTGCTAAAGGAGGGATAGATGCCTGTCAGGGGGATAGTGGGGGTCCGTTTGTAAAGATGGAGTCTAACAATTGCTGGTATTTGTATGGGGTGATTAGTTGGGGGATAGGSTGTGCCGATGCTAATTCGTACGGTGTTTATGCAAATATACTGAAAGTAAGATCTTGGATCAAAGATAAAACCGATATATAGAATAAATACTTGTAGAYCAAAGTACAACTTGCGATATACAACAGGAGTTTTAAAAGATTTCAGCTTGTGAAACCATACGTCTCCACAATGGCTCTCAACACGAATAAAAATGATTCTCAGTATTTCTTAAAATATATATTTTTATTTAGTTTGACAAACTAGTAAATCTCTGATTCCAGTCACCAGGAAAAAGTACTTATATCCAGCCGATTGCGTTCCTCAGCCAGGTATTATTAAAATGGATTTCTGTTTTCAATAGTAGAAGAAAAACAATTCAAGCGAATTTTTTGTTATAGATTTACTTGAGTTAAGAAGTTAATATAACTTTTCGCGTCTTATTCATTTACGAGTTTGTTGATCTAACCCTCTTTGAAGATTTTCATTAGTCAAAGAAGCGGAGAGGGAGAAATAGAGCAGAACAGACGGTCTTCTTTATTTATTATTCTGCTTCATTCATCAAGAGCGTCTCCATTAATTCTCAAATGAGTGTTTAAAGCTTTCTTCGTCTCTCAGCGCTTGCTTGACCATAAAAAAAAAAAAAAAAAACAGGGGCGACCTCTATTTGTCGCCCTGCGTTCTTTGTAGAGTTTCCTTAATATTAAACAATCTTTCTACCGACCACCTTATGAAAGCGATCTCTTATCAGTATTTAATACCATATGAATTCAATACGAATATAAAGTATATTTCAGAAGAAGTGTTTCGATAGCTGCGGGAGGAAAAAGGAAAAAACTAAAACGGAAAATAAAAWCAAACAAACAAACAGATAATAATCTTAAATAAAAGAAACGAAACAAAACGAATTAAGAAATGAATAGAAAGTACATGAAAGCAACAAAACAAAATAAAAGAGAAAAACAAATCTAAAATATAAATTAAAAGAACTCTACAAAAGTAGAAAAATAAATAAAATGTGAGTTGAAATGAATTGTCGGAAGAAAGGAAGAAATTCAAGTGGAAMATATGGATGGAAACGACAACCAGAGATGATCATCTTTCAATGACAAGGTTTTGGTTGATATTCTTGATTTTGTCAAGTTCTTTGATTCTTTTGCAGCCATACAAATGAAGCAGTGTTAGCCTGCAAAGTGAAAAATATCATAACTCGACGAAAACAAGCAAGTAGGCGAGCGAAAAGCATGGAAATAAATAAAATAATAACCCATAAAGTAACCATACCACTACTAAAGCAACAAACGCTTTCCTTAGAGCATAGTTACTAGCTATGCTTAGAGATTGAACTTACTTTTTACAATTTTTCACGACTTGGTTGACAGTATTCACAGARATATCGGCACAGAAACTCAGTTTCAGGACACGAAGACTTTGACTGCAGTAGTTACTCAGTGCAACAATACTAAACAAGAAAAATGTATCATCAGTTCCAGCTCATTTTCTGTTATTATAACATAAAAATCTATACCTTTTGCTTGTTACTGCCGTCCCAGTAGAGCTGAGATCGAGTAGTTGCAGTTTGTGACAGCATTTTGCTAAGGCACGGACACCTGCATCGGTTATATACGAACAACCACAGATATCGAGAGACCTAAAGCGTAAGAGCGTAAGAGCTTTCAGGACACGAAGACTTTGACTGCAGTAGTTACTCAGTGCAACAATACTAAACAAGAAAAATGTATCATCAGTTCCAGCTCATTTTCTGTTATTATAACATAAAAATCTATACCTTTTGCTTGTTACTGCCGTCCCAGTAGAGCTGAGATCGAGTAGTTGCAGTTTGTGACAGCATTTTGCTAAGGCACGGACACCTGCATCGGTTATATACGAACAACCACAGATATCGAGAGACCTAAAGCGTAAGAGCGTAAGAGCGTAAGAGCGAATGTTTGTTTTCATCTTCTGAAAATAACTTCTCAGTCTTTTTCAATATTTTTCACGCACAAACAGCTATAGTATAGTTAGTTTATTAAACATTTTAATCGCCCTTAACCCACGATAATCATCATTATCATCGTCATCATCATCATCATTATTATCATATAATTTCTTACTGGATTCCAGCTAAGTTGGTTGATATTTCTGTCAGAGTTGCATCAGTAATCAAAGGACAGTTAGCCAATACCAAGGACTTCAGATGAGGACAATGTCGCACTATCTTCTTGACTGCAGAATCACGGGTCTACCATACAAAAACAATTTATARTAGGTTATATTTCACTAAAAACGTTGCCTATTCTAGTGACTTTCGCCTGTGAATTTTAAATATTACTACTATTTATGGATAAAAATTTTTAGCCTCCTTCAAAGGTGAATTTCCTATGTTTGTATGGGCAATAAGGAGCACAAGGCGAAACTGTTTGCATAGAAGATAAATTCAAGCAAGAAAAACAAGTTTCTTGACTTGTTTTACCTGTTTACAGCCACGCAAATCTAAGTTTTCAATCTCTGGTAAATGAGACACAAGATTCCCRACTGCTGAGTCTGTCATCTGAAGGTATAGTAAAGAAATCATTGTTAACAGTTCTAATAATCGCCATGATTCTAGCCTAGTCCGTACCTTATGACACTGTCCAATGTTTAACGTCTGGAGATGAAGACAYTGACTGCCAAACAAYAGTAGACCAGCTGGAGTRATRTTAAARCACCCAAACACTTCAAATATTCGTAGACTAAAAATAGCAAAAAAGTAAAGAAGACGTAAAACTTTGCTATATAACTGTAAACTGCGTTCTTGCCTCTAAAGAAACATATACACACTTCACAGAAAGTAGCGCCATGCCTTTGCAAAGCTCGAGACAGCATAGAGTCATTTTCATCTGTCTGTGAAACAATTACTACTAGTCAGTGTTTACTAGTAACTATTAGGGTGTAGTAGGCTACCAAAAGGCAAAATCAAAACCATGTTTGCCTAATTCAGTTGTTGCATGTCATAAGTTAAACTATTGGGAGCTAATAGGGGGTAATAGTATTTAATAGTACAATTCCTATTTCACAGACGGATGAAAATGACTCTAACTTGTTACAATAGATACCTGTTAATAATATTGATGTATCATTGTAAGACTAACTGTTGCCTCACTTTGATACAAAGGTACAGCCACCTTTTATAAAAGATGGCATTTAGAAATGTAAAAAGCTAAGTTGAGTACCTTTCACCATGTCTTTTAGAAACMRCAGTCAAAGATTTATCTGTTATTGATTGACAGCCATTGAGGCAAAGACATTCAAGTCTGCAAAACACATYAYACATTGTCAATAACWTCTTATTCTCAAACTACATCAACAATAACTATCGTTGCATACCAAAATTTCATGATAGCACCAGAGATGAAAATTTTTTCAATATTACAATCTTAGAAATTTTAATTCTTGATTACATACAATGTTTATCTCAATGTTAGCAATACAAATAACAAAGATTAGGTAAGGATTCTATATACAGCTGAAATACTKACCTTTTTAAATTCTTTGCAAGTTCCTGCACGCCATTGTCACTGACATTAGTCCAGCTGACGTCTACAGATACAACATTGAAACATCGCACTGATATATGCAGCAATATTGACTCCCCGATAAGCTCACCACCCGAGCAACCACTAAAATCCACCTCCTATATGAAAGGTAATTGTAAAAGGCATCAGTAAGTCATGGTGTACAGAACATATTAGAATATGAAGTTAGGTACAGCCTTTTGCAAAAAATTATGAGAATTGTCGAAATATCTAAATATCATAATATCGAGTGCATGATGGGTAATCCCGCGCGATGCCCTTAGTCCCTTGTCTTTGTAGTTTAGGTTTTTTTGGCGACAGACTTATCCGTAGTTCTGAACATTTTCTTGATGTCAACAATGAATTATTCTAGCAAACCCGCGTGTTCCGGACAATATATGGATATGGATATTATGATATTTAGACAATTCTCATAATTTTTGCAAAAGGCTGTATATATTAGTTGTACAATAAATAAATAAATAAATAAATCAATCAATCAATCATCCAATCAATTGATCATTCATCCAATCAAAAGCTAAACAATATAACAATTAAACCATTATTTACGGTAATCTAAAAGTCAATTACTAAGCCAAGTAGCCAAATAAGTTGATCAATCAACCATCAACCACACAAAAATACAACCAGTCATTTATTCACTTACTCAGCCAGTCAATGAGGCTTTTTGTAAACCAATCCAGACTATCAATAACTCATYYAGTCAAATGATAAGTACCAAATACTTATATCAACCTGTAATTGCAATTCACTGTCTAAACAACTAATATCACTATTTTTCTAATAAACTGACCTCCAAGGATTCACTGCACTTTCTAAACAAGCTTCTTAACCCTTCAGAAGACACTTTGTGACTGGAACACTGAGATATKGTCAAACTTGATGGATGTCTGTCACCAATACTCTCTAGCCAGGCATCACAAATGTTACGATTCTTGCGAATAACTATAGTTTTCCCTAAAAATGTGATACAAGTGTCAAATACATGAGTGAAAAAATTAAAAGGGAAGAAAATGGAGAACAAGTGCTGTAGAAAGAGACACGAGAAGGGAAATTTGAGGAGAAGAAAAGAGAAAAAAGATAAAAGAATGAGACACATGAGTTGAAAAGATGAAAAAAAAAAGTTTTTGAACAGTTTACTTACAAAGGGTCTCATCCATTGCAATCCGATAGAACTGCGAGCAGACACAGGCACAGGCCACAAGATCCTTGTTAGACAAGCTGGAGAAGATTTCTAGTATTATCTCATCAGGTAGGTAAAGGTATGGCACAGGTTCACTATCACGCTGAGAACGAATCTGTAAAAACAACACAAATAACAACAATTCATCAACCTTTTTACTGGAAAATTGGTAGAAAAAAGTACTTACTAGGGTTAAAATCCTGTCATAGCTTCCTAAATCTGAAAAACATAAAAAAAAAATTCAAACACTACTTTTGTACAACAACAACAACAACAACAGCAATACTTTATTTTTATTAAAAGAATGATAATAGTTACAAATAACTTAACGGACATTTAGCTTAGATAAGAGCTGTCAATAGACAGTCTTCAATCAAAATATCATCTTGAAATTTTCAAATGGAATGTCCAAACACTGGCCATCAAACTTGTTTGATTCAGTCACAACTTTATTTCTCATCAAATTTCTTTCTAATAACTTTATGGGCATTTAAATGTATTAGCTTTTACCCTTAGTTGGGGCAGGGACACCGCAACAGCTTGTGGAGACAATAACTGCGGACCCTACTCTCACACTCACTACCTCTACATCAAAATGTGCCTGAGTCTGATGGGCTTCCTGCGTCACATCAAAAAAAGTCACTTACCATCCAAATTTAGCTGTGGTATGCTAACTGAGCCAGCTGGAGACTTCTTAGAAAGYAATGAGCCATTCATGTCCTCAAGTAGCAATGGGCTGGGTGACTTGGGGTGGGGCCTGGCACTACCAGGTCTATTTTTAGACTTCTTTTCTTTACTTTGTTTAGCACTAGAAGGTCTACTGTGATTGGTTGATTTTGATCCTCTAGGACTCTTCCTATTGGTCTGTTCAAGGTTGATTGACAGATTRAWGGTGTCATAATCATCAGCTGAATGRTATGTTGCACTTGTGGTTCTTTGTCGYCTGCCCGGTTTTATCCCATTTTTCGATTTATTTTTCTTTTTGCAAKTTTCAATCACAGCTAGATCAGTTGAAGATCGACTTCTTAAAGTACCATCAATGAATTTCTCCTTGCTTTGTCTCMCATCTTTCTTTTCRCTGCCTCTTCCCTTGTTTATTGATGGTGGCTTTGAAAGCTCTTGAGGCTCAAAGGTACTCCAGGCTAAGCTTGACTTTARCCARCGCCGTTTGTAGCTTGTAACGTTGCTTTGAAGTGACTCGTTGCTGAAACCAGAGTTTTTCTCAACTTCTTTTGATAGATTAATTACATCTTGCTTTAGCTCTCTCTCCTTCTTGCTCAGTAGCGATGAATAGCTTTGTTCATCACTTTTATACTCAAGTGCTTCATTGATGAGCTTCTTTGTTTCTTGATATTGCTGTTCATATTGTGCAAGCTGTGTTGGATCTAAGACAGTAGGTTCAACACTAATCAGTGCAGTRCCACACTCAATACACCAGTTTGCTGCTTTGCTGTTGACTTCATGGCATCTTGGACAAGCTTTTCCAAAGACTGTAGTACTACAATCAGGTTTATCAAGCTTGTCTGCTACTGATTCATCATTACAGTGCCTTGCTTCAGTACTTTTACCATCTTGGTTTATGAAGTTGTGACCCACATTGTACATAGCTGGTGCTGAAGTCGATAGGTATSTGTGATCTTCAGGAGATGTGGACCGACTTCTTATTCCATTCTTAAGTACTGGGGTTGGACTTGAAGATTGTAAAACCAAATCCTGCTCAAGTAATTCATCTGAGAAAGACATTCTTGATGAACTWCGCTTATCCTCACACATGTCAATGCTGTTTTCTTTGTTTTTATTCAATTTTTTACTATTTCGTTCGGCATCTAGAAATTCTGTCAGCTCAGTCAATATCTTTTGCTTGCCTCTTCCAGATTTTGAAGGCTTACTTGCCTTGTTTATGTCTACTACACCTTTACTCTTAGTTACACTATTGCTACGCAGATGCAGTGTGTTCACACTGCTTTCCGAATCTGATGTTTCAAATCCATTATACAACTTCCCTTCTATCTGAGGAGCTGGGCAGCCAAAACGGGAGGACGGCTGATGTTTTGACACACTAAAACGTGTAAAATCCTCCTTAAGTGCAGCATCTTCATGCCTCCCTCCCCAGTGAGGAGTTTCAATTGACAACATAGATGCAAGCAGAGGTAAATTAGAGTCCTCTAAGCTATTATCTTCACTTTTGTTACAAAAAGAAGTCAAGTTATAATTGTTGTCTCTGTTGTGTGAGGTTTTTGAAAGATTTTCCTGGTAAGAAAAGCTTTGTTCATKAAATGGTTTCGCTGACACGTCCACTAATGGTTGTTTTTTGGTATTTTGAGTGAGATCTGGAGAAAGTGCAGGACGAATGTARGACTTAATATCAAGCTGACCTGACTCAACCGCTCCACGTAAACCCCACAACTCTAATCTTAATTTATCATCATCGTCACTTCTCTKTGAAYTTAAACTACAGTCATATGGTTTGAAATTCCAGTTGTTGCTGCTACTGAATGAAGATTCGTCCGATWTTGTTTCRCATTGAAGCATACTCGGCGGTAATGAACTGCMTGACACACTTTCAGAATTTATCAAAAYATCATGATCTTTATCSCCAGGAATTCTTAATGCACAACCATCTTTGTTTCCGAAATGTTCTAACCTTTTTCTACGAAGAATKTCAAGATTTACACGAGCTGATCTCGGAGAACTTGTGCTMGRATTTGTTCTTGTTTCATTCGAAGTGTTTCTCKGCTTGACGTGCGAATTTTTCAAAGTGGATTTGCTTGGATTGCCATATTCTTGATGATTRAAGGTACTGGTAGGTGAGACCTTGGTTAAATCAGTRTATATTTTTTCCCTGGGGCTTGGTTGAGTAAGAGTTGTAGATCTATCATGTCTAAATCGATTGGTGACGATGYTGTGGCCTTCTGTTGGTGTTATGTTGTCATGAACGTTTGACAAGACGGTYGCCTCTAAACGGCGAACCCAGTCACTAGCCATAATCTTAGCTTCATTTTCGTCCATGGTTTCCAACGAAATCTTGTAGAAATCATTGATGATTTGACTGGAATTGAAGAATTAAATTTCAGACATTTTCCCTCCGAAAACACTTCTTCTTCCAAATTAAAATSCCTTTGTAACTTGGATAAAAGGCTTGCTTTCATTGGTCAAAATGTGATGGTGGATTGGCTTTGTTGAGATCTAACCAATCAAATCTTTTGTTCTTTTATAAATTTATTTGCATATTATTATTTGTGATTTACCGCTGACAAGATATTGCGCGCGTACTTGTCAATTTGAAAAAAATATAAAATAAATAGATAAAAAACAGAATAGAGAAATAAATGAGCTATTTTTTTTTAAATCCAGAATTTTGTCTCAAGACTAATTCCAAAAGTAAATAAAAAATATGTCAAAGTTCGTTATGTCAAAGATATGCGCGCCTAAATTGGGTTCCCTGTGTATTTTTAATCGAGGCGTTAAGGACAGATCACTCTAATAATGTCGAGATTGTTTACAAATAATCTGACCTCTTTAATGTAACTTAACTCACAATATGAGTATTCTGAACGTTGCCAAAGGAGTCAAGTCAGCTGCAAGCTCTCTCGCCTCGAGTATAACTTCAGTTGATAAGCTAGACGAAGAAGAGCTTGAACTCCTCACTCTTTCGAGGCATGSTTCGAGGGATGATCTCTTTGACAACGAGTATGCAGAAAATGACGATTTATCTGAAAGTCTTGAGGACGACTCATTTGAGAATGATGCATCAAGCTCTCAGGTAAGGATGTAGTTTTAAGATATTAATCTAAAATATTGAAAAAAAAGTTTTACATGCTGCTAAGCTTATGCAAATAATTTTCTTGCAAGCTGGTTAAGTATATAATAAGATTATGAAATTAATTCTTACATATGTATTATCCATGAGGTTTTATCGTGGAAGTGTAGTAGATTTTTACTAATTGAAAGTATAGAAATGTGAATAAACTGTTCAATTTCAATGTTGTTGAATAATRTTTTCAGGTAATTAAGCCTACATGGTATTTAAAGCTAATAAACTTACATGACCAATTAAATTTCTCACAGCTGGAAGATTAACGAACAGCTGCATATATCCAAGTCTCTAAGGCTTGAATATACAAATGTAATTGAACAAAAGACTTTATGAAAAATTTTGTAGTCAGTTTATGATCAGCAATTAATCTTTTGCTGTGACCACTTACAAAGCAAATATTATGAATACAGGACAAGCAGTTACATAGGTGTTCATTATTAATGTTGATAATGATAATGACGGTGAATATGTTAGCTAGCAAATACAGCAACATATTCATTAATGATAAAAGTTAATTAAACTGTAATAATTTTATCTAGACATTGCTGCAAAATGAGGCTATTCAGCACCAGAAGGAATCTCTCCATCATGCTGCTTTTGTKGGGAACTTAGATATGATGCATAGTCTTGTTAAATATAGAGTTGGTAGGTAATATTTATACCCTGCAAATAAAGGATAAATTGCTATTTTACTACCTTACATCATTGTCTTTAAGATATCAATGGACGAGATAGCTTTGGCCAGACACCTCTACATTGCTCGATTCTTGGACAGCAGTTAAAAGCAACTCAATTTCTTTTGGATCATAAAGCAAAGGTCCATGTTTTGGACCACAAGCAAGATTCACCTATTCATGCTGCAGTACGTACAGGGAACATCAAGCTGTTGGAGGTAAAACTATACTAGTCAGAATATTCTAAAAATGATTGGGCTCCCTGTGGTGAAAAAACTYATGCCACAGGTAGCCCAAATTAATAAATGTTTAAAAATGTTTTAAAACTATATTTTTCATTATAYTTTTAGGAATTACTGGTTGATCCAAGGATTGATATCAACTTCAATGGCAGAGAAAAGGTCACTGCATTGCATGTTGCTGCACAAATGGACCATGAGAAGTCACTAGAAATATGCCAAATATTGGTAAAGAAATATTAGTTTTTATAAAGAAATGAAGAAATAAATTTTAGATAGCACGACCAATATTAGAATTAACTCCATAGTTAATTTTTTTTATTTAAAGAAAGATATCTAACATTACTGTATTTCGTTTTTATTTTCAGTTGTTGTCAGGTGCTGATATCACTGCAAAAGACATCAATGGCAGAACACCTTTATGCCTGGCTGTTATCAAAGGTGCCCAGGCAATCACTGACTGTCTATTCCGCCATGGTAATTYATAAACATTTAGTCAGTTGCTTATCAGATTTAACCAAGGTTTCACTTCAAATATGTTATGTTTTCAGCACAAGCTAAAAAGAATTGTAGGATKGATGAACTTCTCTATAATGTAGACCAAAATGGCAGCAACATATTGCATTTTGCTGTTGACACAGGACAACTACAGGTAAAAAATAGCTCAATCAATGAAATGTTGTTTTTTTAACTTATCCTACCCCAGAGCGATCTTGAAAGGTAGACAAGCCTTTTACATCAAAGTGAGACAGAAGTTGAGCTTGATTGACACCTGTGAATTATTGTCGTAGTAGGGGTGAAGAAATTTAAGTTATCATCAATGCAGGATAACACCTGTTTCAATGCAAATGTTCAGCTACTTTTCAAGATGATGTTCAGAACTTTGAGATGAAATATCATTGCCATATTGTAGACATAATCTGAACTGATGTCTATTTTTGTGTGTAGWTGGTTGAGATCTGTCTGTCTTATGGAGCAAGAGTTGATAGAATTAAGGTATATTATTAATTCTACTGTAGTAACATGGACTTGTAGTTTGACATGTATGTCAACGTTGCCCAATGGGAATTAAGAAAAGCCTGTCATTCATGTGGCAACCAGAAGACGATTGGCTGTTAGAACAAAGCGACTTGTGAAAAGCCATTCTGATCATGGCTGGCACATTAACATAAGAATGAGTTTGTTGTTAGAACTCTCCATCATTCCAGAATAAAGGCTTGTACTCCTGGTTCATAAGTTTTAATCTAACAATTTGTGTTACAAACAAATGTTGTCTTCCCGTGTCCACTCCATGTGTTCACTCTCTCTCTCGTAAAGTGTCCTGAGTAAAATGTCTCACATTTGTTGATAAACATTGAGTATCGCTATACTTACACCCCATTGAACACTGTAACCTTTCCAAACAAAGTATGATTTTAGCAACTTTTCCAGGAATCTGATGGTACGACTGCTGTTCACATGGCTTGCACTTATGGTTCACTCGAGATCCTCAAAGCATTACTGAAGTCTGTTTCCTTTGTGTATTCGTATTCACTGCCTGACAAACAAGGACTGACTTGTCTGCACAAGTAAGTCTATCATCAACATCATCATTATCGTCWTTATTGATTGTACCACTATTTTCCYCTTTAATTCTTCCCTTTTACTCCATTCTTACAGAGCAGCAATGTATGATCATATAGAAATWATAAAGTTCCTAATAAAACAGGTATTATTATCATAAACAGTTGTGTAAAAAGATAAATTTAACACCTAAAAAATTAGGTGAAACAACTTCGGACATTTTAATGGCATTAAAATCATTTGTCGGAGTACTTCCTACTTTTTTGCGGTGATAAATTTATCTTATTACACAACTGTTTCTTTAGAAACACTGTCTCAGCTCATACTAGTTGAACACTAGTTTCCATCATTTTTTTTATTATAATTATCATAATTTATTTATTAATACTCTTTATAAAAAAGTCAGTCATTATGTGCATTTTCTTCTATAGGGTATTGACTTAAATGACTTGGACCATGATCARCGTACACCCCTCTTAYTAGCAGCATCACGTGGATGTACAAGYGCAGTCGAGCTGCTGTTGGAAGAGGGTGCTGATTCTRCTCTRAAGGATGCTAAACTCAGAACTGTYCTTCATTGTGCTGTGGGACATTCAGAAACACTCACTGCTTTGTTGAAGGTATAGTCTTCCAGTTTTTTTTTCATTCAGTTTTATTGCTTGTTTGCCATCCAAGAGATACATTGCAGAAGTTAAATGCTGAGAAGTGTATACACCTTTTTAATAAGTCCCGAGGTATTGTGTTCTCCRCACTTGACRTCAAATCTATTCTATTAAATTCCTTTTGTATTGTAAAAATTTCGGGACTTATTAAAAGGGTGTATCAGTATATAACAACTCCAAATTTGTGATGAAATGCAGTCACTAAGTATGTAATGAAACCCCAGTTTTTAGGTCCCAGCAACTCAACACCCATACTTTTCTACGTGATTAATACGACCACTTTTCGGTGTCTCTTGGCGGCCGGATTAGCGAGGTTTCACTGTATCTACCAAGAGTACGCAGTGAATTTATGTTTGTATTCTTAATTTGTTCATTATTTTTAGCATGTTAGCGTACGTAACATGATGAACACAGTTGATGAACAAGGATCAACTGCTTTACACTATGCAGCGCAGGGAGGCTTCTTAAAGGTAAGAGAAAATAATCTCCACTGGTCGTTAGGGGTAGCAAAAGTGCATCTGGAGAAATTTCACTCAATCCCTTTCTGTCAATGCTTCCCTCCCTTTCTCCCTCCCTCCCATTCTTCGTTCTTCCATTTTTTCATTTTCAATCTCCCAGTCTTTGTATTTACCATTTTTCTGCCGAGCCAATAAGAGCAGTGATTGTATTACAAGTTGTTCTGTTGTATTTTAGAATGTGTCTCTACTACAACAGCGCTGGACTCGCGACCGCGGATCTAACAAGTATTCCAACAGAATACGAAACCACAATGGGGACCTACCGCTGCACTTGGCTGCGAGGTAAAATCCTCTAGTTTGTCATGTTGTGTGTCATGTTTTGTCCTTGAGTTAGGATCAAATAGGAACGAAAATATACACATTTGAAGACTTTGCATTTGGTTAATAGTTGCTCACACACTGAATGGTAATGGTACAACGAAAACGAATCGTCATGTATAGTTTTGCATCCATAAAATAAAGCATTTCTAAAACGAAAGAGTTCTCGTCAGTTATTTAAAGGTTTGGTACGTTAATGCGTCCACCTTTGAGCTCAATGGAACTTTTATGATTCATCAATTACACACTGCGCATGCTCATGCGTGATTTCTGAGTCTATCCCACATGGCCCAGTGATTTGTTTCGTCTCTATAAAGACCTTCATTAGTTGAACTAGCTCACATAGACTCACGATTGTTTTTTTTTATCGTCTCACAGGTATGGATGGATTGACGTTGCTAAGAAACTGCTCCAATCACGAGACTTCCGTCAAATCGACATCGCCAATGACCATGACAAAACACCTTTGCATTGCGCAGCTGAGGAGGGGCATAGTAACATGGTAGCCGTACTGCTGGACCACCAGGCCAGTGTAACTAAGTAAGGAACACTTATTATAGCTTAGCCCGGATCTTTGGGCTTCCTGTGCCTGTACTTTTTGCGAAACAGGAATCCCAACAGGGCGGTAGTGAATACCCAGGCAGCAAAGTACCTTTTTGTCGTTCTTTTCATTCTTTATTTTTTTTTCTTTCATTCTTTCATTTTTTCCTCTCCTATTCTCTCCTCCCTCTCCAATACTCTTCACATTTCTTCTGTAGTTCCTTCTCAACTGCGGTTTTCTTCCGTATCTATCCCCTTCTCTTGTCTCTCCCATTTTCTTCCTTTTCCTATAACTGTTTTCGTGTGTTTCAGAGACAGAGACGGTAAGACACCACTCCACATGGCCGCCGCCAAGGGATCGTTAAAATCAGTTGTAAAAATTGTACGGGCCAAGCCAAGAAGCATCAATGAAGTTGATAAGGATTTGGTATGTTGATATTAGATACTGAYATCATGATTGTACCGATTTTGTTGATTTGTATATGATGCAGTTGTGCAAAAAGATAAATTTAACACTACGACGAAGGATTTTAATTTTAAAACGTCCGAAACTTCAGTAAGTTTTTTCACSTACTTTTTTACGGTGTTAAATTTATCTTTTTTACACAACTGTTTCYTTAGGAACATCGACGCAGCTCGGTGAGTAATATGATATGATGATAATGTGAATTATAAAAGGTTTGTCATATTTTTCAGTGATAAATGTAGTCTTATTATAACCATTATTTTCAACACAGAACACCGCTCTTAACTTGGCGTCACAAGCAGGCCACGCCCATATTGTCTGCTATCTCCTGTCAATYAAAGAACAAAACGTCACTCTCAATGCGTTCAACCAGAACGTTCTTGACGTAGCAGTCGCCAATGAACACGCTGAGGTTGCCATGGCGTTAGCGGAACATAAGAGGTAAGTCAAAGTACCATAGTACTAGGTTAGAACCGCTTCTCTGATTGGCTATATTGCTTTAAAGAAACCAATGACAATGAGGATTGTTCGGTTTTTCTTCTAGATGGAAGGATGTCCTGAATCGAGCTGCACGTGGCGCGGAAAGCCAAATACAGCTTCTTGTAAGAAGGCTGCCGCACGTAGCTGAGGTGCGTAAACGTAACGGATGATACGTAAATCTTATCCACAATAACTTATTTATTTTTGAACAGCGTTTTCTTGATAACTGTATCACTACCAATGGATCACCTGACAGTCCTGCTTACAAGGTAAATTCACCCTCCCCTCCCTACGGTTTCAAATGACTGGATATGTCTAACTAATGTTTTTGTTTTATTATATTGCAGGTATCGTATGATTTTCATTTTCTACAAGGAATGCCTGAGGAGAACGACTATTCTTTTTGCTCCTTGGATGCACTAGAGGTGAGATTTTTGATTATTGGAGAAGTAGTACATTAATTTGAATGCATTCACATTATGTAATGGATCCAAATGCAATTAAGTGTAGAAATTAGTTGTCAGTGTGGAAGGCAGTGGGGGTGCACTGTGTAACGTTTGTTTTATATTGTCTTCAGACGATGGTCAGATACAAAAGACTGGAATGTCTAACTCATCCATTGTGCCAGGCGTTCCTCGACATTAAATGGTACAGAGTGTCAATCAATCAATGAATCATTCAATTCATCACTTAATCATTCAATTCACTAATCAATCAATCGATCAATGAATCAATCAATCAATCAATCAATCCATCAATCAATCAATCAATCTGTCAATCAATCAATCAATCAATCAATCCACCAATCAATCAGTCAATCAATCCACCAATCAATCAATCAATCAATTCATCAATAAATCAATCTTTCGTGTGTTTCTGCATCGTCAGTTTTCCTATTTTCTTCTATTATAGGCGAAAGGTCGGTCTTAACGAAGTGATACCACAATTCGTATTATTCTTTACCTATATTTTGTCTCTGGGATGCTTGATTCTATTCCAGCCGTGCGGACGACCCAACGACTACAAACATGTAAGTTGTTAATGATAAGATGCGGACATAGAATGCTCTGATTCAGGTAGCTTATGTGTTTAAGAGCCCATTACTAGAATGTAATGTATTCTATTCCTATTTTTGGCAGCTTGATCTTAATTCAACGTGTGTACCAGGAGACATTATCTACTATGGAACTTGGGTAAGTTAAAACATTCGATGTTTTTGCTGGATTAAGAGGATAAAAAACCCGTTTTCATCACAATGTTCTCTTT